CAGGTATCAAACGGAGATGCCGGAAGAAACTGAGGAAGAGAAAAATGCCTTTGTGATTAAGATGGCATCAGTGGCAGACCAAGAAGAGAGAGACTTGTTGATAGAAGACAAGAGAGTCGAACTCAACAACAAGTTGGTGGCTGCAAAAAGGCAGGAATATAATGATAAAAAAAGGATGAAGGAGGAGGGGGAGACGTTGCAAGCACTCCTGAAAGAAAAAAAGGGAAAGCAAGGGAACCTAGAATAACTTTATGTGCACAACCTCTCACCAGATAGATGACTGTATCATTGAGTACATAAAACAGCTAGATGAGGCCCTCGTTAAAAAGATAATCGACCCTATTGTAGTAAGGAAGTTAAAGCTCGGTGGTGAGGGAGGAGATGGAGGTGAAGAAGGTCCCAAGAAGGAAGGGGACAGCGAAGCGGAGGAGTCCAGGTAGAAGATGAAGGTGAAACTGCCATGGACGTATAACAGGAAGAAGGAAGAGAGCATCTTCCACTGGGAGGCGGCTAAGGACACATACTTATACACACAAAAGATTTCATACTGGGGCCGCGTATTAACGACAAGTTCATGTGTGGCAGGGGACGCCATTAGCTTTGCCATCTCTTTGATGAAAGAGGCTGGCTGCACTTCCATGGTCCAATACTCGCAGAGAACGCGTATTGACTCTTGAGGATTTCTTCAGGGCCCTTAGAGAGAGATTTGAAGATACGAACGTGACCCATAGAACATAATCCTTGATTCTTGACATAAGTGACCGCAAGTGGAAGAGTGCGTCGACCCTTAAGGCCACGATGGATGAATTGTTGCAATGTCCAGACCATGGACTGACACCTACATTGCTACACAAATATTGAATAACTTTGCGAGAGCACTCCCAGAACCCTTGAAAACACAGTTATATTCCCGAACAAAGGAAGAGGGAATGATTTACGAGAAGTTCGGCAAGATCGCAGTGGATCATGCTGGTTTTCTGCAAGAGGCACAATATTGTCATTATTGGAAGGACCTGTAGGCCGGTAAGAAATGGACAGATCGGACGATCTCAAGAAATATAGTAGGGAAAGATAATCTTCTGGTCACCTTCGAAGGAGGGGTGGACTCACTCACCTATGACCAAATAGACTATGGATTGGAAGAAGATAGCAACAGTCACTTAGCCCAGGGACGGGACTATGCGGCTGTTGCCGCCCGCGGGGGAGGGTGACAACGAGGACGTGGCCATGGTAGAGGAAGAGGAGGTCGCGGCCAAGGTGGAAGAAGAGGACCTGCCGCCCAGAGGGGTAGTGGCGAAGGTAGCTACTATGCGGGAGGTAGGGGTAATGGTCCCTCGCAAGGCGGAAGAGGTTCCTACTCCACAGGGGGTAAAGGTAGAGGAAACAACAATTGACAACCATGTTCACCCCATCCCGGAATTGCTGTAGGCAAATCTTGAGAACAAATGGGGATTGATGAGAAAACTTGGGATGAGTGTAAGGCAGCCGGCCAGTGTTTCAAATGTGGTGACCCCGACCACATTGTTCCCTTCTATCCCAAGTATCGGTACCCAAAAGGGAACAACCAGTAGAGGTAGCAGTTGCCTCTACAGGGACTCTGGATGCAAGCAGACTGTCATCCTCCCATCCAGAGGTCCCAATGGTAGAGACTGAGACATTAGAAGGCCCCCACCTAGTTAGTTGCCCAGAGGTTGCTTGTGTCAGGACCTCTCTACGTGGTTCCCTCGCAAGCATAGGTGATGAACTGATCACTCGTCGCCACGCTTGGGCCGAAATGAAGAAAAAGAAAGGGTAGTTGCTAATTGCAGATGTAAAGGTCAATAGAGTAAGAGTGGCCGCGTTAATAGATAGTCGGTCAACGCGTAGTTATATTAGCAAGAAAGGGCTGCAGAAGATGCGCCTAGGGTTGAAGGTCCCGAAATTGGACCAGCTCGTTGTGAGTAAGTTAGCGGATAACACGAAAATGATAGTGGATAGTTATGTTGAAGGGGTTAGGGCATACTTCCGATTGGAGGCAGGTGGTAAGGTAGAACGTGTTCTGCACTCCCTGACACTCTTAGTGGAGGATAGCCTCCCTTTTGACATGATATTAGGAACTGACTGGGGTGAGGCCACCGATGCAGATGTGAAACTGGGTGAACATGAGTGTTGTTTGCCTAGCCCTGCAGGTGGAAAGAAGAAAATCCGACTTTACCATGCATTTGGCGTAGAGAATAGCCTATCCCTTTGTTGCATGAGTGCCCCAGCGTTCACCCGGCATGTGGTCAAGAATGACCTCGCCGACCAAGTGTTCGTTGTGTATATGCGCCCGATGAGTGAAAATAAGAAAGAAGAAGAACCCATTCCCCCCAATGTGCAGAAGTTGCTTGTTGAGTTCGTTGATGTTGGAGAGGCCCCAAGTGGAATAGTTGAGAGGGAGACCAAGCACCGGATAGACTTGGAGCCCGGAAGCAGGATTCCCAAGGGCCCCATCTATAGGATGTCTTCGAAAGAGCTTGACGAATTGCGAAATCAGTTGGATGAGTTGATCGAGAAGGGGTGGATTAGGCCAAGCTCCTCACAGTTCAGTGCACCAATTATGTTTGTGCCAAAGAAGGGCGGTGAACTGCGTATGTGCATAGACTATAGGGGACTGAATGCGATAACCGTTAAAAATGCTTAACCGTTACGACGGATAGATGATCTCCTGGATAGAGTTCAGGGTTGCAGATACTTTTCCAAAATTGATCTGAAATCAAACTACCATCAGATTGAGGTATTGTCAGAGGATCAACACAAAACGGCTTTCCGAACTAGATATGGCCACTATGAGTTTGTGGTGATGCCGTTTGGTTTGACAAATGCGCTGGCAACATTCCAGTGGTGTAGGAATGAGCTCTTCCGTGATTGGCTTGATAAGTTTGTCGTGGTTTATTTGGATGATATAAATTTGAGTGAACACGAGGAGCACCTTCGGTTGGTGCTAAATAAGCTACGTGAAGCGAAATTCAAGTTGAACCCCACGAAGTGTGAGTGGGCAAAGTGTCAGGTTCTGTACTTGGGACATATGGTAGATGGTGATGGGATTGAGCAGGAAGACACCAAGATTGCAGCCATTAGAGATTGGCCTAACCCGCGCACGTTCGTTCCTTGGTCTGACCAACTATTACCGCAAGTTCGCTCGAAACTTTACGGTAATCGCTGCCCCATTGCAGGTCCCGATGGTATAGGCAGCGGTTTGAGCAATCCAAGGGGAGGCTGTGTGGAACTCTTGTTCCTCTGACATACCTGACAGCCTTGCACATAGGAAATGCAGTCATGCTGTATTCCCGGCCACGCGTAGGAGCGTAGGAGGTTAGCATAAGTCTTCCTCCATCCGAAGTGCCCCTCAATATCATGATTTTCCCCAAGTATTATGCTACGAATTTCCTCGTTGTTTGGGACGCATAGTCGATCATGGACGTCTGTTTTCTCAAACAACAGTCCCTGCGTCACCCTATAGTCTGGGACTTCGTGAGGCGTCGTCTGCACCTTGCCAATCAACTGGCTATAGACTCTTCATATTCGATCTCTAGATGCCTAGCAGTATGGTGATATCTTGGAGAGAATTAAGATCTCATTTTCTGATGCTTTTCGTGAGTTCTACTTTTCACCAGTGAGTAAAGTCAGGAGATAGGGCTGCTAGTTTTAATAGAAGTATCTGGCGGCCTAAGGTTTGGCTGAAGAGGCAGATCTCATTCTCTTGTTACTTTATTCAAAGTTATGGACCAGATTTATATGTATTAAGGGACGCTGGACCCGGTTTCCAGCAGGTGCAGCTCCCCACCAATAGAATGGAGCCAGTAGTTGGGCTGCTAGTGGTGGATGCTCTCATCACCACCGCTAGCAGTTCAGCCGTTTAAAAAAAAAAAAAAAAAAAGATGGGATCACACGTATAAGCAGACTTAATTTTCTCGTGGAGCTCGGTGCTTGCATCTAGATAGGTGACAATAGCGCCGAAAAAATCAGCTTTTCTACTTAACGCATCGGCAACAACATTATATTTCCCCTTTACTGGCTTCAACTCAAAGTCGAATTGATCAATTTCCCCGGCCCACCTAGTCAGTTTAGGTGTCATCCGAGTCTGGGTTTTTAACCAGCGAAGTGTTTCATGATCAGAATAGACCTTAAAGTGGCGTCCTAGCAAATAGTGTTACCAGTGATTCCACGCTTCCCGCAGAGCAAACAGCTCTCTCTCTCATAGGTGGAAGCGGCGACCTTTCCGCTAGGCAGTCTACATGACATAAATTCCACAGGTGCGTACCCATTCCCATCGTCTTGCTGGAGTACAACATCGATCCCGTATTGACTGGTGGTTGCGATAAAGGGCTGAGATGAGTCTGTGACTTTCAACACCGGGTAGTTAATCAGACATTTTTTAAGACGCTTAAAGGACGCAATACAGTTTTGATCCCATTTCTAGATAGTTTCTTCTAGGATAAAAAGCAGAAATGGAAAAAGTCAAGTTATGGTGGTGGTCCAAGGGATTAGTGAAATAGGCTAACTTAGGCAGGGGTGAAGGGTGCTGGATCCTTCCCCAGGGAAGTAATCAATGCCGCCCACTCGGTTGTGTCAACCATAATGGGGAGGAGCGTGCGTATGTCCCTAATGTATTGATTATTGACTTGCCGGGGAATAGGAACCGGACTGTTGCTCCCCAGAATGGTAGGAGCCAGAACCGTGCGGTTTTGTAAAAAAAAAAAAAAAAAAAAAAAAGTTATGGTGGCGGTAGATCGGTTTAGCAAGTTTGCTATATTCGTTCCACTCCCTGTGGAAGCAAGAGGTTCATTGCAGTACCGCCCAATCTCCTGTTGACCACCGTGTCCTTTTTGAGAGTTGATATCCACTCCAAGGGGATGGCATTTATCATTTGTTGGAGGTTCTGTGTTAGGTTGTGACTGCCAGTCCTTTTGAAACCTTGAGGGTACTATTTTATTCCTTTACGTTTTCGGAAACCTTGAAGGGTCTGCAACTTTGCATACCTGACATCTTTGCGTGCAGCCAGAGCACGCGACCTTTCACTCATCTTATACGCGAAGGTGTAGTCGTCCCAATCATCAACCTTATGCTTGTGGCCGTCAGGAAGGATGTAGTGGCGGGGACCTCTTGTTGACGTGTTCTGCAAGCAGAATATCCAAATCAGCAAAACAGCAACAAGTATTGCATCAATCAGCCAGCTCATCTGGTGTCCTATGATTGGTATGATCATGCATGCTCTCTCTCTCTCTCTCTCTCTCTCTCTCTCTCTCTCTCTCTCTCTCTCTCTCACACACACACACACACACACACACACACACACAGATGCACAGACACACAACTGCTTTTTTTTTGTGGAGTTGTGCATAGCGAACATGACAACACTGTAACTCGAGCTGCATGGGGGTCTGAGACCTGGTAGAGAGATCTGTGGGGTTGTCGAGGGTGGAAGACACTCTAGTGTCTATTGGCGAGCTGGTACTCAGTCGACGCTGGCCGGAGCCGGGGCGGGTCACTTTGCCCTGTAGCCCAGCAGGTGGGGGGTTTCTGGGGTGGGTCGTGGCACTCTGTAACCTAGCAGTTGGGGGTGTGAGGCCTGGTTGAGATTGAGTATCGGGACATTGGGGGGAGGCAGTAGGGTTGGGCCGCTGAAAGCACTAAGGCAGGTGGTTTTTTCGGTCTGAATGTTCCTAAGATCCAAGGTTTGGTTGGTTGTTCATGGTTGCCAAGGGGGGTCTTAAGAATGATTTAGGATTCTGGTGACTCCTAGCAACTCATCTTAGATGGCTCCATTGTTGATATACTTAGTGATCTGCGGCTGTTCGACGCCAGAACGACGCTGGTTGGTGCTGGGGTGTTGCCCTGTAACCTGCTGATGCAGAAGTCTGAGGCCTGGTAGAGAGATCTGGGGATGATTTGGGGTGGGCATTCCAAGGGACAACCAAGGGTTGCTGCCGCTGGTCGGAGCTGGTCGGAGCTGGGGTGAGTCGTGTTGCCCTGAAACCCAGCAGGGTGGGGGTGTGAGGCTTGGAAGAGACTGGCAGGGAGTAAGACAGTGCTGGAGAGTTTTTAAAGGGTTGCTAGGGATCCACAGGGTTTTGAGCATTTGTAGGACCTCTGTGGTGGCGTGTTTTGTAGTGGTCAGAACCTTTTTCTGAACTTCGTTGTAGTAAGTTTCTAAGTCGTTCAAAATTTTCTTAGCCAAAGCCGGGTAATGACCCAGTTATCTCAAACTTTCAAAATTCTATGACCCCGGTATCTCAAACTTTCAAAATTCTATGTAAATTTCCATATGGGACGCTGGGCCCGGTTCCCAGCACGTGCTGCTCCCACGAATAAATTGGAGCCTTGTCGTAAAAAAAAAAAAAGACATACAGACACACTTATTTTGAATGCTACACACACACACACACACACACACACACACACACAGAGAGAGAGAGAGAGAGAGAGAGAGAGAGAGAGAGAGAGAGAGAGAGAGAGAGAGAG